GGGGCCGCATCAGCAGTTTGGTCACCCTCAAAGGGCCGGTTGTATCTGTAGGATGGCATGCGCTCAATATAAAAACAAGTGGAGGTTTCCTGAATGCATGTAAAGTGGAGGTTTCCTGTGTAGAACGGCAGGCGCCGCTAGAGGGCAGACGTTCTCTGGCTTCTAGGCTGCCGCGCATGCGCTGAAGAGGTGGCTTTCTTGTGTCAAAAAAAAAAAAAAGCGAGAATAAAAGGTGAAGGCTCGTGGCCGGCGGCGGCTACACGGGCCACATGACGAGGTCTGGCGGGCCGGATTCGGCCCGCGGACCTTGTGTTTGACACCCATGGGTTATAGAGTTTCCAGTGTGGTTTATAAAAACAAGAAAGAAAACATCCAAGCTGTGCAATAAATCACAGCAAGGTTTTAAAAGCACCCGAATATATTAAAAGGACTGGGATTATTAAAAGGATAGCAATATTAGTGCCAAGCAAGCCTCCTTGGGGCAGGAATTCCACATAGAGGGAACCACCATTGAGAAGGCTCTCTCTCTCTCTGGTCCCTATCCTGAGGAGAGCCTCCAAATATTATATTAACATCCTGTGAGGTTGGTATGGTAGCAGATATTCCCCTAGGTTCTTGAGTCCTCCTAAGCACTTGGAATTGTGCTCAGAAATGGACTGGAAGGCAGTGAAGGTCATTCAATATCCATAATATACGTCCCACTAATTGGCGCCAGTCAATAGCCTAGCAGCTGTACTTTGATCTAACTGCAGTTTCTGAGCAGTCTTTGACATATACATGGCATCAGTCAATTCTAGATGTCACCAAAACATGGATAAGTATGACTATGAAGTGTAGCATAGTCCACAAACGCCTATCCCAAACAACATATGTATTAGTCTTTAAGCTACCAGATGACTCTTTGTTGGTTTTCATGCAATACAAACACAACTGTTGTTGTTGTTGTTTAGTCGTTTAGTCGTGTCCGACTCTTTGTGACCCCATGGACCAGAGCACACCAGGTACTCCTGTCTTCCACTGCCTCCTGCAGTTTGGTCAAACTCATGGTGGTAGCTTCGAGAACACTGTCCAACCATCTCGTCCTCTGTCATCCCCTTCTCCCTGTGCCCTCAATCTTTCCCAGAACCAGGGTCTTTTTCAGGGAGTCTTCTCTTCTCATGAGGTGGTCGAAGTATTGGAGCCACAGCTTCAGGATCTGCCCTTCCAGTGAGCACTCAGGGCTGATTTCCTTCAGAATGGATAGGTTTGATCTTCTTGCTGTCCATGGGACTCTCAAGAGTCTCCTCCAGCACCAGAATTCAAAAGCATCCATTCTCTGGCGATCAGCCTTCTTTATGGTCCAGCTCTCACTTCCATACATCACTACTGGGAAAACCATAGTTTTAACTATGCGGACCTTTGTTCCCTTTCATGGATCACTGCCTTGCCGTGGCGAAGGGGCTCGAATAACTCAGAGAAGCTATGAGCTATGCCATGCAGGGCCACCCAAGATGGACAGGTCATAGTAGAGAGTTTTGACTAACGTGATCCACCTGGAGCAGGAACCGGCAAGCCACTCCAGTATCCCTGCCAAGAAAACTCCATGGGCAAGGACAACAGGCATACAAACACAACTACCCTACTAGAAATTATTACTTTTTAATGTTATGCACATATTTTGTTTTCTGTTGAACTTTCAACAGTGCTTCATTGTGAATAGACAGCCACGCCACTGCGGTTCTCTCAAAATGTAATCTACAACCCATTTACCGCAGAGCACATTTTCTAAAGCCAATGAGACTGAGAAAGATGTAGGAGAACAAACGTTTTAATGCATTGTGAAGTCTGCTACTGCACTGACAGTGAACACAAGTGAGCAGCTGCCATATTTCTCGAGCTCTTTGCCAGCTTAGCATTGACTGGATCATATAAGTATCATCATATTTCAAGGACCACAGCATCGAGAAGTGACTGGCACGTGTGTGAGCGAGCCATCATAGCAGATCAGGCTGTAGTGCATGCTGCTTCCACAACAACACTTTGTCCAGTTTACAAGTGTTCACTTGGGTCCAAAATGGTTGGTGAGCAAATGATGCCCATGCATGTATAAACTGACTCTGTGCCATGTGTGGTGCAATAGTGAGCCACATCATCTGGGCACAGAGTAGACAGTTGTATGGTAACTTTGCACCAGCTTCAGCCAGTAATGTATATCTTGCATTTACAGCCCACCTCTCTAAGGAGCTCAATGTAGTATACATGGTTCTCATCCTCTTCATTTAATGCCTGCAACCCTTGAAGAAGGTTAGGCTGGGAGGCACTGACACGCCCAGGACACTCTAATCCAGCATTTCTCAAATTTGGGTCCCTGGATGTTGTTGGACTACAACTCCCATCATCCCTAGTTAGCAGGACCAGTGGACAGGGATGGTGGTCATTGTAGTCCAACAACAAGATTGAGAAAGGCTGCTGAATCACTACACCACACTTGCTTTCATGAATTGTCTCAGTGCTTGTGGCCGGAGACAATAACAGGATGCTAGGTGTGCTGTTTTGTGCAAACCATCAGTCTACAGCCGTTTGTTTGTTTTTTCCCTTCACAAATGTTTGCTGGGCTAAACTTGTACAGAAATTCTTCAATAAAATATCTAGAACAGGGTTTCCCCAAACTTGGTAGCCATCTTTTTTTGGATTACAAATCCCATCATCCCTAGCTTGCAGGACAAGTGGTCATGGGTGATGGGGTGATGGAAACTGTAGCCCCAAAACACTGGAGACCCAAGTTTGGGGAAGCCTGATCTAGACGAGATGTGGTCAACCCCTAGCCCAAGGAGCCTGGTGTGGCCTCTCAAGCAATTTTTTTCTTCTCTGCCCCCCTCACAAAAAAGAATTCACTGATTTTGGCAGTGGTAGCAAAACCAAAATGCATTCAAGGTAGGCACAGCACTGGAGCAGACAGAGAGGTTTATAGCTGATGGGGATACAAATTGTCCCTTCCCAAGTCAATCATTTGATAAGGGGGCAGGGAAGGAAATCTCTCAGATGATACACACTGATCAGCTGCAAAAAGCCTCAATAATAAGGAAGTTAGTTGCACTTTCATTCCCTTAAAAATAAGTGGAACTAAAGCTATGATTAGTTTCACCAGCTGATTTTACAGAAGAAGTAGGTGCATTCAAGATTAGTAAATCATTGGAGATTCCTTCTGAGTACACACTTGAGATGTTGGCATAGCTACAATGCAGTTCTATGTATTTCCCCCCTTACCTGCGAGTAAGTAGGACTAACCCCCATACTTACTCCACTATTTACAAGAACTTAAGAGTAGCTTTGTTCACAGGTATAAATCTCCAGTTGGGAGATTGATTGGGTATCTAATTAATTTTTCATTAGGCGACAGGTCCCCCTACACTTCTGAAAAAGTGGCCTGTTTAGCAATTTGAGAGTAGCAATTTTAAGGAGAAACGTTTTTGGGGATGATAGGTTAAATTCTTCAGGGTAGCAAACTATTACAGTGGTACCTCTAGATGCGAACGGGATCCATTCTGGAGCCCCGTTCGCATCTAGAAGCAAACGTAACCCGTGTCTGTGCGGGTCATGTTTCGGCGCTTCTGTGCATGTGCGTGACATCATTTTGAGCGTCTGTGCATGCGCAAGCAGTGAAACCCGGAAGTAACACACTCCGTTACTTCCAGGTTGCTGCGGAGCTCAACTCGAACGCGCTCATCCCGAAGCACATTCAACCCGAGATATGACTGTATATGACAAAATGCCTTATTTTAACTGTGTGGTGTATTTTGTTTTGTTTTTATTTTACACACACACACACAATTTTGTAATGGCTTTGGCCAGACAAATGAATAAACAAACAAACAAGCAAGCAATAACATGAAACAGTGACAATGCAATTCTATTCCCCTCCCCCTTACCTGGGCAAGTGGAGCTAACTCCCAAACCAAGTGAGCAAAGCACTGCAAGGCAACAAACATCTAACATAAATCAATGGGGCTTACTCTTGAGTAAATTGCTAAAACTTGGGCTGCTAGGACTGCAATCCTAGCCCCCACCCCCACCATAGCTGTCAACGTTAACCTTTTTAAAAGGGACATTCCCTTATTCCGAATAGGATTCCTCGCAAGAAAAGGGAAAAGTTGACAGCTATGGCCCCCACCCTCATGCTGAAGCATGTCGTCGTCGTCCCCCCCCCGTCCCCCCACTTGCCATTGGAACAACAGATGACAATCTTAAGAGCACACAGTTTATTATAATATTTTGTGTTATTGTAAATTCCTTAATTGTTCATTTTTAACCTTGTACAGTGGTACCTCAGGTTACATACGCTTCAGGTTACATACGCTTCAGGTTACGGACTCCGGTAACCCAGAAATAGTGCTTCAGGTTAAGAACTTTGCTTCAGGATGAGAACAGGATGAGAAACAGGCAGCAGCAGCAGGAGGCCCCATTAGCTAAAGTGGTGCTTCAGGTTAAGAGCAGACCTCCAGAACGAAGTAAGTACTTAACCTGAGGTACCACTGTACAATGTTTATTGCTTTCATTTTATGGATCAACCCTCTTGTTAGATAGTAAAATTCATGTTAAATTGCTGTTTTAGGGGTTGCTTTTTAAAAGTCTGGAATGCATTAATCCGTTTTGCATTACTTTCTATGGGAAAGCGCACCTTGGTTTTGGAACGCTTTGGTTTTGGAACGGACACTGTGACAGCTTTTACTAGTGGGCTCCTGTAGGACAGATCAGTCCATACAGCATGAGGCTACTAATCTTTTGTTGGGGGGGGTGTGGGTGTGTGCGGAAAGGCAATTTTTATTGAGTTCTACCGATCCCAACCACGCGCTTCGATGCCGGGACAAAGGTTCGGAACGCGGCGGCGGCGCCAGCGCTCGAACCCGGCGGCGCGCCTGCGCGCACGTGGGCCTCCCTGGCCGGCCGCGGAGGAGGAGGAGGAGTCTGGAGGGGCGTGTCTCTGTCTCTCCCCCCCTCCCGTCCACCGTGCCCCGCCCCTCCCCTCGAGTCCCCGCCCTCCAGAAATGGGCGGGGAATGGGCTCAGGTAAAGAGCGCGGCAGTCCGGCCAGTCGCTCGCCTGAGGCAAACGGCGGCGGCGGCAGCAGCAGCAGCGTTGTTGTCCCCCCCGCGTCGTCTCTTTCTCCGTGGTGCGCGGCGGGTCTCCTCTGAGGCGATGTGGCGGCATTCCTCGTGGGCCTTCTTCGCGCTGCTCCTGGCCGGTGGCGGCGGCGGCGGCCCCGGCAGCCTCCGCCACGGGGCTTCTGCCCAGTCGGTGTGGACGGCGTGGCTGAACGTGTCGTGGAGGATGCCCGGCAGCAACGAGAGCTACTGGAACGTGGGCGAGAGCGGCATCTTCGGGCAGGACTCCCCCCTGCGCCGGGCGGCCGGGCTAGTGGTGGCCCCCGAAGGGCCCGGGGCGGCCAACGCCTGCAGCCCGCACACCAACTTCAGCAGCCCGCCGCCGCCCACCCCGTGGGTCGCCCTCATCCAGCGCGGAGGCGGCTGCACCTTCGCCGAGAAGATTGCCGTGGCCGCCGCCAGGGAGGCCTCCGCCGCCGTCATCTACAACTACGCTGGGGGGTCCGGGAACGACGTCCACCCCATGACCCACCCGGGTGAGGAAAACGGGGGCTCTATGGGGGTGGGGGGCGGAGGGAGGGAGGGAGACGGGCAGTTTCCGGGATGCGCCCCTCGCTTGGGCATCGGGTCCCTCTGAGTCGAGATTGAAAACCTGGCGCTTTTTTTTTTTAAAAAAAATGCATTGTACTGTATTGTATTGCACAGAGTTGCGGGAGAGGGAACCCCGAGGGTCGTCTAGTCCAGCCCGCAAGAATAAGCCCGCTGCCCCCATAAGGGGATGGAAAGTGCCACCTTGGCGTCCGTCAGCACCGCGCTCTAACCAACAGAGCTACCCTGGGAGATATAGATATGATTGCGTGTTTGTGTGTAGATATGCAGCTTGTTTAACGCGTTTATATAACACCTTTATATGTCGGGGGAGGTGGGTGGGGGGCTCCCTGGGGGTGGGGGGCGGAGGGAGGGAGCCGGACAGTTTCCAGCATCTGGTCCCTCTGAGTCGAGATTGAAAACCTGCCTTTTTTTTAATGCATTGTATTGTATAGCACAGAATTGGTGGAGTTTGGGGAAAGGGGTTCCCCGAGGGTCATCTAGTCTAGCCCGCAAGAATAAGCCCGCTGCCCCCATAAGGGGATGGAAAGTGCCACCTTGGCGTTCATCAGCACCGCGCTCTAACCAACAGAGCTACCCTGGGAGATATAGGTATGATTGCATATGTGTGTGTAGATATGCAGCTTGTTTAATGCATTTATATAACACCTTTATATTTTGAGGGAGGGTCGGGGGAGGTGGGGGGGACATGGCTCTCCTCCTCCCTGTTTCATCCTTAATGACAACCCTGGGAGGTAGGCTAAGAGACGGGAACTGGCCCAGAGTGAGCTTCAGAGGGTGTCAGAAGGGACACCGAGGGTCATCTAGCCCAACCCCTTGCAGTGCAGGAATCTTTCATATGAAGAGTCTCCTGCTCTGCTTGACTCAGAAGATATGATCCATCTTCTTTTTCTGTGTTTGAACACCCAAGTAGAAAGAAGCATTTCCTAGTTTCTCTTCTTTTTGCCTAAGTATTCTACAACCTCTTTGTGGCGTTGGCTGTTTTCAGTTACAATAATCAGATAAGAAAATTGCTTATTTTTGTGCTTGGTGTACATGCACTTGTCTGATGCGTGGTTGCTTTGTAAAGTGTGTCTTATTTGAGCCTTGCATATATCTGTGGGTCCTTAATGTATTGCTTCCATCTTAGGATGCATACGATTGCAGCCTCGGTACTTTTCTGCTGTCGTATATGAAATTTATATTTTGCTTTTTAGCCGAGATTAGCTCTCAGGGCTGCTTTTAGTTAAAATCTGTTGGCAGGTGTGATACGAGGGAAAAGGCAGAGAGGGGGTATAGTATTCTTGTGGACCATGGCAGTTGGTGACATCATAGTCCAAGTCTCTAGAGAAAGGTGCAGCAAGAGGGTTAAAGGGACCACTGATGTTGAAGATGGCAACCCACAGAAGTATTTCTCCAATTCGGCTGCAGACACTTTTGTCCTTGGCTATTGAAAATTGAGGGCAGACGTACACCACACACTTGAACCACATGGCTTTCCCCAAAGAATCCAGGGAACTGTAGCTTCCCCCTAACACATTCCTAGCACCCGTAAGAAGCTGGGCAAAGTTGTGGGTTTTAAGTGTGCAATGGGTGTGCTATCTTAAGAAGTGGATTGTTTCTAGGCTTTCTCCTCCAGAGGCAGAAGTTGCTGTAAAACAGCTCCAGGAGTTGCTTGACTATTAAAGATGCTAGTCCACAGGATCAGACTGTCTACTGCAAAGGCTTCTCTTGGCCATGGCTGTTGCTATATTACTGTTGTGAATCACTCCACTTACTCCTTCCTCCCCGTGGTATGGGAAGCACCACCAGGTTCTCACTGCGATCACATGCATACACAGAAGTGTCCCAGTAAGTTGAGTGGAGCACACCACCTAGCATCTAGGGTTAGACTTCAGTCATAAATACACTTTGCAAGTAACTAACTAAATGTTGGAAGATTCAGGGCGGGCAAAAGGAAATCCTTTTAATCCTGAAACTCGCTCCCTCAAAAAGTAGTGATGGCTTCCAACTTGAATGGCTTTAAAAGAGGTGGGCCATTGTGAGAATAGGGTGATGGACTTGGTGGACTAGTGGCCTGATCTAGCATGCTCTTCTTATTATGTTCTTTGGTACTTCTAGTAGGCAGAAGATCCTAAGAACAATTTGGGCAGCTCCTGAGGTTTTAAAACCTGAAAAAACATAGAGCACACGCTATCTTCAAAAGTACTAATGCTGTTCCTCCATTGTCCACACTACTTCACTTCAGCTAGCACAAAATTATCTTCTGCATAGCATATGGATCCAAAATGCAGGTATCTTAACTCTGGAGATACTCTCCCAAGTTTTGGTTCCTACTGAACTCAACTCACCATCCTGAATAAAGCAATTGTCTTGCCACTATATACAAGTTGAAAATACTCCAAAGCAGTTGCAAAAGGGCAGCAAACAATTCCTTGCTTTATTGCTTGCAGTGAGTAAAAGCCATCTAAGAAGCTTCTGTATCATTTATTTGTTTAGGCAATTTATATACTGCATCATATGTTGGTGAAATCTGCAAACAGTTTGTGACATTCTAAAAATATATTAACAAATACAAAAAAGATAGTAGAAATTTAAATCGTCATTTTGGAGCTGCACAGATAAAAATTGGATAAGATATCCTCTGAAACCAGGCATGTGTAAAGTCCGTTTTGGGGGCCTAATCTGGCCTGCCAGTCGGTTTAATCCGGCCCCTGTGGCAGTTTATTTCCTGCAGTTAAATCCTAAAAAAAAACCCTCAACAACTGCAGTCCTAAAAAAATCTCAACAACTTTGGGGTAAAATAATTAAAAAAAGCTCAACATCTTCAATTCTTTGATTGGCCCTCACAGCCCTTCACTTCATCAAATCGGGCCCTCTTTGAAAAAAATTTGGACACCACTGTACATTCTGATGATTGTACTGGCCACTAATGATTCTGTTTTAGTATCTTAACTGCTTGCCAGATGAAGAAAATTTAAAGCCTGAAAGGTGCTCTGCACATGTTCAAGAGCATTCAGTCCAAGGTGAGAGTTCTTGTAAAATAGGTTCACATTGGCTGTGATTGAAATTCTACACAATGTGCATCTACCTAAAGCATAAGAGCCCTTCCAGAAAATATGTGGTAACCCTGGTTGCTCATGTGTCATATGCAATATTCATGTAGTAAATTATTATTCTAGCCCATGTTTGCATGAGAAGCGTGTGGTTTGAGAGATGGTAGTAACTTGGGGATGACCCTGGTATCACCTGCACCACGTCTACAAGGCAGCTCAACCTTTAGTACTCTGTTTTAATCAAGTTGAAATGGCTTATCTCATTTGTATGTTAACATTACAAATATGGATTACAATAATTTGCATTTATGCAGTACATTTTAATTATAGGCAGTGCTCTTCATAGATTTTCACTGACAAGCTCTGGAAGGATTTCATCACTTGTTTGAACAAGGAAAATAATTCTAATTTTCTAGTTCTCTGGATTGCCTTGTATATTGGTAGGAATGATTAGGAATCACAGAAGTATGAAGATTCTGACCATCCTTCCTTCTGAGTTTGCTAAGCTAGTGTGCTAATGCCATGCTGTTGCCTCATGTTTTTTGTGTGAATGAGTTAGTTGTCTTAGTTACATGCTTACTGTGCTGCTATTTGTTGCAGTGACGGGGATATGCATAAAAGCAATATACGAACAATTTCCACTTAAGAATTCCAGGGACACCAATAGTCTTGCGTAGCAATGTTTTCCTTTGAGAAAAGAAAGCAACACACTTGGCCTCACTTCCCTCTGTAGCATGTCCCTCACGGCTATGAAACAATACTGAAAAGATGCCTATTATCTTCTGGGAGTTATTAAACATGCACTGATTTATTTATTTATTTAGTGTTTCCATGTTATCATTGTGGAGGGGCATTAAAACATGTGCCATGGGATTATTGTACTCTAGTTAACATGAACCTCGAATGTGGGTGGAGATTACAATTGTGGGTAATTGATGTGGCTTTTAGTGGACTAAAAAAAAAATCTTTTGCGTTTGCTGCTGCATGCCTTTGACGTCTCTGCATCTCCCCCCCCCCCCCGGCCTGGTCCTTGCGAACTGAATAAACCAGATCCCCTAATGTAGTACAAGTGCTTCAGCTAATGAATAGCTTAGTCAGAAAATCAGTTTCCCTTGATATCATTTAGAGGGCCTACATAGTACAAGAAATTGATTGGCTGTACAGATGCTAAATAAATTGATTGGCTTTGGCTGAGACAAAAAGTCATCGTAGGGCAGAACTGTTAAATTGCCTTGAAAGGAGAAAGTAATTGATTGTATTGTGTGTTAATGTTACGGTACTTACACTGCTTTCATCTATCCTAGACTCTGATCTATGTGTATGGGTGCAGGCCCCAACCCTATCCACTTGTGGGAGTAAGCTCCACTGAATACAACAGGGGCACTTCTGAATAAAACATACATAGAATTGATCTATAAAGCCACTGAGATTTCAGATTGAGTTCTGGAGGTTTATGGGGTTCATTTGAAGCATTTCTACCTGAAAAGATCAGTAGTGGCAGGCAGCCTTCCTTGAAAGGGCCTCTCCAGGGCAAAGCCAAATGCTTTTTTCTTATCTTATCAAATGTACTTTGACATGCAATTAAACCAAGATAAGCATCAAATATCAATCCACTGTATCTTAGAGTTGATGAGGAGGAGTGGGGACTATGGCAGAGAACTCGTCTCCTGAATTGAAGGGACCATAGCAAGCCTTCTCCTAATGCTAAAGTGATTCAGCATGCACAGAAAAATACTGTTTCTGAAGCATGCAGGACTTGGGCTATTTAGAATGACTATTAGTGTGGTACCATCATAACAACTCTGAGGAAACATTTGCATCCTCTCCTATAAAACAATGCTACACAGTTGAAATCTTGAACTTTGGGAAAGGCCAGTGAATAGTCAGTGAAC